AGGATCCTGGGATTGAGTCCCACATCGGGCTCCCTGCTCAGCAGGGGGTCTGCTTCTCCCTCTGCCCTCTTCCCTCTCGTGCTCTCTGTCTCATTCTCTCTCTCTCAAATAAATAAATAAAACCTTTAAAAAAAAAAATGAAAAGGACTAAGGGTATGTAATAAGAAACTTCATGCCAAGAAATTAGATAATTTAAATGTAATTGACAAATTTCTAGAAAGACACAATTGCCCAACTGACTCAAAAAGAAACAAAAAATCCATATAGATCCATAATAATTAAATTAGTAGCTAAAAATCTTCCTACAAAGAAAAACCCAGGCATAAATGGCTTCATTGGTAAATTCTACCAAGTACTTAAAAGAATACATAATAACTATCTTTCATAAACTTGTTCAGAAAATAAAGGAAAGAATACTTCCCAACTCATCCCATGAAGCCAGTATTACCCTGCTACCAAAGCCAGACAAAGACATTACAAATTTCTGTGTGCAAAAAATTCTATAGAATCCATAAAACAAACAAAACTCACTATTAGAACTAATAGAGTTCAACAAGGCCACAAGATATAAAGTCAATATAAAAAATCAGTTGTATTTCTACAATTTCTACAATTACTCAGTGCTCATCATCAGTGTACTCTTAATCTGCTTCACCTATCTCACCCATACCCCCACCTACTTCCCCTCTGGTAACCATCAGTTTGTTCTCTATAGTTAAGAGTCTGTTTCTTGGTTTGTCCTTTTTTTTCTTTGTTTTGTTTCTTAAATTTCACATATGAGTGAAATCATACAGTATTTGTCTTTCTCTTATTTCACTTAGCATTATACTCTCTAGATCCATCCATGGATCCATCCATTTTTGCAAATGGCAAGATTTCATTCTTTTTTATGGCTGAGTAATATTCCTGTGTGTGTGTGTGTGTGTGTATAGGAGATATATATATATATATATATATATATATATATATATATATATATATATATATATATATCTCTTTATCCACTCATCTATAGATGGACACATGGGTTGCTTCCATATCTTGGCTATTGTAAATAATGCTGCAGTAAACATAGGGGTGCATATATCTTTTTGAATTAGTGTTTTCATAATCTTTGGGTAAATACCCAGTTCCACTTGTCACTTTTATTCAGCATTGTACTGGAGGTTCTAGTCAGTGCAATAAGATAATATAAGGAAATGAAAAGCATCCACATTGGAAAAGACTAAATAAAACTGTCTTCATTCAGATGACATGATGTAAAAAATCCTGAAGAGGTCACACTCTTTCTGCCCCCACAAAATCTGCTAGAACAAAGAAATAACTTCAGGAAGGTCACAGTATATCAGATCAATTTACAAAAATCAATTATAAATGTGGCATGTTTACATAATAGAATATTATCCAGCCAGGGCGCCTGGGTGGCTCAGTTGGTTAGGCGACTGCCTTCGGCTCGGGTCATGATCCTGGAGTCCCGGGATCGAGTCCCACATAGGGCTCCCTGCTCAGCGGGGAGTCTGCTTCTCCCTTTGACCCTCCTCCCTCTCATGCTCTCTGTCTCTCATTGTCTCTCTCACAAATAAATAAAATCTTTAAAAAAAAAAAAAGAATATTATCCAGCCATAAAAAGGAAAGAAGTACTAATACATGCTATACTATGGATGAACCTTAGAAACAGGTTCACTGAAAGAAGCCAAACACAAAAGGCTATGTATTATATGACTCCCATTTATGAGCAATGTCCAGAAGAGCATATCCAGAGACAAAAAGTAGGTTAGTTTTGACTGGGTAGAAAGAGAAATGGAGGTTTCTTTTCAGGGTGATGAAATTTTCTGGGATTAGATACTGGTGATGGTTGCACAATTGTGAATATACTACAAACCACTGGAAATATACCCCAAACCGCTAACTTGCACACTTTAAAAAGATGAATTTCATGGTATATGAATTGTATCTAAATTTAAAAATCTTTCTACACACATTAGTACATGAACAACTCTGAAAATGAAAATAAAAAAATAAATTTAATTCACAATAGAACATAAGGGATAAACTAAAAGCAGCACAAAACTTGTACAAAAGAAGAAAGTTAGAAGACTTACACTATCATATTTCAAAACTTAATAAAATGGTGCTATAATCAAAACAGTGTGGTATTGACATAAGGATAGGCATAATGATCAATGGAACAGAACTGGTAATCCAGAAATAAACCCTTACATTTAGAGTCAATCGATTTTTGACAAAGATGTCAAGGCAATTCAATAGGGAAAGTATCTTTTCCCCATAAATATTGCTGAGACAATTGGATATCCATATGCAAAAAGATGAAATTAGATTCTTAACTCACATCACATAGAAAATTTACTCAAAATTATAAATCTAAATGTAAGAGCAGGGGCGCCTGGGTGGCTCAGTCATTAAGCTTCTGCCTTCGGCTCAGGTCATGATCCCAGGGTCCTGGGATCGAGCCCCGCATCGGGCTCCCTGCTCGGCGGGAAGCCTGCTTCTCCCTCTCCCACTCCCCCTGCTTGTGTTCCCTCTCTCACTGCCTCTCTCTCTCTCTGTCAAATAAATAAATAAAATCTTTAAAAAAAAAATAAATTTAAGAGAAAAACTGTCAATCTTTTAGGAAAAAATATGAGAAAACCTGCAAGACAACAGTACACAGATATGACACACCAAAAGCACAAGCCTAAAAATGGATAAATTTGACTTCATCAAAATTAAAATCTTTTGTGCTTTCAAATATACCATCAAGGGAATGAAAGGATAAGCCACAGATAGGGAGGAAATATTTGCAATAGTACATATACCTGACAAAGGACTTGTATCCAAAACTTAAAAATTCTATATTAAGAAGACAAAGCAGTTGAAAAAAATGGGCGAAAGACTTGAACTCCATGAAAGAAGATATATATATATATATATATATATAACCAAGTAGAATATAGAAAGATGCTCAGTATCATTAATCATCAGAGAAATGCAAATTTAAAACTGTCATGATGCACCACTTCACACTAAAATTGCTAAAACTAAGAAGACTGACAGTACCTACTTTTAGCCAGGTTGTGGAGCAAAATTTAATGCTCACACATTTCTGGTGGTAGTGCTAAGTTGTATGTATATATGTGTGTGTGTATGTAATATATATATATGAATATCATATATGATAAGATATATAAATATGATATATTAGCATTCAATAGTGAAGGCAAAATAAAGACATTTTTTTTATTATGTTATGTTAATCACCATACATTACATCATTAGTTTTTGATGTAGAGTTCCATGATTCATTGTTTGCGTATAACACCCAGTGCTCCATGCAGAACGTGCCCTCTTTAATACCCATCACCAGGCTAACCCATCCCCCCACTCCCCTCCCCTCTAGAACCCTCAGTTTGTTTCTCAGTGGACTTTGAGAAAATATAAACATTTTAAACGTCTGTGGAAAAAGAGTTTCCCATCCATATATATACACTGAGAGAACTATTAAATGATAGATTATACCAAGAAGAAAAGGGCAGAAGAAAGGAATGGGATACACAAAGCACCAGAAAGCAAAGTAATTGGAAAAGCATATTGGTAAATCTAAGTAGTTACTAAAACAGATAACATCTTATGTGTTAAAAAACAACACTAATACTGGGGCGCTCAGTCGTTAAGCATCTGCCTTCAGCTCAGGTCATGATCCCAGGGCCCTGGGATCGAGTCCCACACTGGGCTTTTTGCTCAGCATGGAGCCCGCTTCTCCCTCTCCCACTCCCCCTGCTTGTGTTCCCTCTCTTGCTGTGTCTCTCTGTGTCAAATAAATAAAATCTTAAAAAATATATATATATATATTTAATGAAGTTTTTTTTTTAAGATTTTATTTATTTATTTGACAGAAAGAGAGACAGCGAGAGAGGGAACACAAGCAGGGGGAGTGGGAGAGGGAGAAGCAGACTTCCCGCAGAGCAGGGAGCCCGATGTGGGGCTTGATCCCAGGACCTTGGGATCATGACCTGAGCTGAAGGCAGACGCTTAACAACTGAGCCACCCAGGCACCCCAAACTCCATTAAATATTAAAAAAAAAAAAAAACAAATAAATACTAAAATTCAAGGGGCGCCTGAGTGGCTCAGTCGTTAAGTGTCTGCCTTCGGCTCAAGTCATGATCCCAGGATCCTGGGATTGAGCCCCGCATCAGGCTCCCTGCTCAGCGGGAAGCCTGCTTCTCCCGCTCCCCCTGTTTGTGTTCCCTCTCGCTGTGTCTCTCTCTGTCAAACAAATAAATAAAATCTTTAAAAAAAATAAAATTCGAAATAAAACATGAAAAATACTAGAGGGAAGTTAATGCATATCAAACTCCTTTTTAAAAAATGTATTTTACATAATTGGATTGTCATTCATTGTCAAAGTGATGAAAGATGCCTCAAGCCCCTATATCCCTTTTTGTTCCAGTCAATACTCTAATCCTGTAAACTGAAGTAGGGAGGGTTTCCACTAGAAAAATGGCTTCTTGGGCTGTGTCTAGATCGGTGGCATCAAACTTTTAAAACTGCAACTCATACTAAGACATATAGTTGACATGTAGTTGACACAGACATGTAGTTGACTCACTGTGTGTACGTAAAACAGATGACAAAGTTCCATAAAGTAATAACCTTTATGTGAGTAATACTATTATATTATACAGTCTGTTCTGCTTTATTCTATTTCACTTTTGGGGGGTATTATTTAATAATATTTTATATTGATTTCATGATCCACATGGTCCTAAAGCTTGAAAAAGACTGCTAAGAGTGTTTCCTGAGAAGTCCCAAGTGTTCACCTCTCCTACTTTATTTTATTTTTTTAAAGATTTTATTTATTTATTTGACAGAGAGAGACACAGCAAGAGAGGGAACACAAGCAGGGGGAGTGAGAGAGGGAGAAGCAGGCTTCCCACGGAGCAGGGAGCCCAATGCGGAGCTCAATCCCAGGACCCTGGGATCATGATCTGAGCTGAAGGCAGATGCTTAACGACTGAGCCACCCAGGCACCCCTACCTCTCCTACTTTAAAGATACCTAATACTAAGTCTGAAATTACTCCAAGATAAAAAGTTAAACACAAAAAGATATGGTACCGATTGGTTACTTACTATAAAGACCACTGAGATTCTCAGTTAAGGATAGCTTATTTGATGAATGCTCACTATTATTACTAGCATCATCCTTTCTATCACCCAGCATAGAGGCTCATATTCATCTTCATTAACCAACTCTTTCATCAAATCAGTCATCAAATTCTGTGGATTCTATCCTCATACAACATGGCTCATATCTTTGTTCTCCTTTTTCCCCGTATTTTAAAAAATTGAGATCTGATTGATATAACTTTATATTAGTTTTAGACATACAATATAATAATTTGATATATGTATATATTGTGAAATGATCAAAGTTCTTGCTCTGTTTCAGTGGAAGACAGAAATCCTAAAAAACATTAGACTTTGTTAGAAAAATAAAGAAGTATGGATGCTAAAATTTTAAGTATAACTACAAATAGAATATAAACATAATGAATAACTTCCAAATTAATAGGGAAAATAAGGAAAACAGTGTAACAGAAGGAAAAGAGAATAAAAAACGCAAGAAAAAGAAGGATAATACAAACACAAAATAAATGATAGAAGTAAGTCCAAATATTGCACATTACAATAAGTAAAAGTGGATAAAATTTACCTATTAATAAAAGACAGAAACTCTGAAATTGGATTTTAAAGTTCCAGCTACATGCTATTTAAATAAATGTGTCAAAGACAGAATGACACCCAAATGTTGAAAATAAAGGAATGGAAAGAGTTATAACAGGCAAATACCAAGAAGAAGAAGAACAGTATTTAAGTAGATAAATATTTAATAGAAAAAAAAAAAGACAAATTAGTGAAACAGGCTCCTAACTATTGAGAACAAAAATGGTTACCAAAGGGGAGGTGGCTGGGGGATGGGTGAAAGAGTAATGGAGATTAAGGACTGCACTTGTCATGATGAGCACAGGGTGATGTATGGAATTGTTGAATCACTGTATTGTATACCTGAAACTAATATAGCACTGTTGTTAACTATACTGGAGTTAAAAAAAAAAAAAAAAAAGATATCTTGCGAAGAGATTGTGCTTAGTCACTTCTTTCTCAACATTATCCCATTCTCATCGCTAATAACAAACTTTGACCCTCCGTGAAAAAAAAAATAACAAATTTCACTGAGACTAGTAAAATCCCATTATACCCCCAGGAGCTTGAAAACAGTAAGAAATTTTTAGGAAGATTATTTGTGTTGAGTCTTGTGAAAATAAATAAATGCCATTAAACATGGAGTTGGGAAGCCCTAAAAGGAGATCTCTCACACACTACCTTCCTCCATAAGAAGCCGTAACTCACATTCCCCAACAGGAAGAAGCCTACTTTATATACCCTAACAGAAGGAAGGAAGAATTTCTTCCTACCCAGCAACAGCCCAGCCCATGAGAGAAACCACCACACTCAACCAATGAGAAGCCATAACAGCCCCTTCTAGCTTCCTCCTTTCACCTATAAAAGTAAGCCCCTTTCCTCTTTTCTGGACTTGCCTATGGTTCACCATAAGTTTGCTTGTCCCCAGTTCCACTTCTCTGCTATTCCCAAATAAGCTCATTTTGCTTGTAAAATAGCTGACTCTTGTTCTTTTTAAGGTCAACAGTCTTTAAAGTTAAACTTCGTATCTATTTAGCAAACCTTTTTTAATTGGGTAGAAGTTGATTTTCATTCTTGGAGTGAAAATACAGATTTCTTATACTTTTAAAAAAGATTTAACTTTTCGGGTGCCTGGGTGGCTCAGTTGGTTGGGCGACTGCCTTTGGCTCAGGTCATGATCCCGGAGTCCTGGGATCAAGTCCCACATTGGGCTTCTGGCTCAGCGGGAAGTCTGCTTCTCCCTCTGACCCTCTCCCCTCTAATGCTGTTTCTCTCTCTCTCTCTCTCAAATAAATAAATAATCTTAAAAAAAATTAAAAAATGAAAAAGATTTAACTTTTCTTCCACCAGAATATAAAAGGGTGCATAAATACAGATGAAGTAGAGGGTAAGCAGAAAATCAGATAATATGATCAGATTTACATTTTATAGCCATCCCTATGGCTGCTGCTAAGAATTATAGAGGGCAGGGACATAACCTAAACTGTCAACTGAAAAATACAGACTATAAAGTAATACATATACACTTGGCCCTTGAACAACATAGGTTTGAACTGTGAGGGTCCACTTTTATGTGGATTTTTTTCAATACAGTACAGTACTATAAATGTATTTTCTTTTATGATTTTCTTAATAACCTTTTCTTTAGCTTACTTTATTATAAGAATAAAGTATGTAATACATATATAAAATATGGGATATTGGTAAAGCTTCCAATCACCAGTAGACTATCAGTAGTTAGGTTTTTGGAGGCTCAAATGTTATATATGGATTTTTGACTGTGTGTGTGGGGGGAGATGGTGGTCAGCACCCCTAAGCCTCATGTTGTTCAAGAGTCAAATGTATAGGATTGACTGTCTATCTTCAGCTCTAAAAAAATACTGGAACCAAGCAATTATACTAAAATTAGCAATCATTATATTTGGTAGAATTATTGGTAATTTTAATTTTTTCTTCATACTTTACTGGATCTTTCAAAATGATTACAATAAACATAGTATTTTTATGATGAAGAAAATGTTACTTTAAAAAAAGTAGGTATTTCTATAAATTTTTTTAAATAGGAATAGAAAGGAAATCTGAATAGTATAAGACATAAAAATTCACTAACTTTTCTTTCATGGAAATTCAGCAGTATTTCAAATGGATTAAATATTGAAAACAAAATTTGATTGCTTTCAACCTTTATGATTTTAAAAGGTCACCTAAATATTTTGGTGTGGTATTTTCTTCTAGGAACTTGATCAAAATGCCACTGAAAAAGTCCAGGCAATGTTCACAGCCATTGATGAGCTCCTGTATGAGCAGAAGTTGAGTGTGCATACTACGAGTCTACAAGAAGAGTGCCAACAATGGACATGTAGCTTTCCTCACCTCAGGTACTGAAGCCCTGTGGTTGGCTTGTATTCATGGCTGACACTAAGACTTGAAAAGCAGATATCCAAAAAAGCTTCTATTCTGAAATCTTTATAGGCTTGGTTTTAATGAATGTAAATAAGGCCACATGGGGTACAGACTCAGTTGAGAGAAAATTCAAGTTGAGGGAAGTTTCTTGGAGTTTTCATAACTACCACTATGTTGTCCTAATTGAGTAAAACAATTTCTATTCCAGTAGCTGAGATCTGTGTACTGTAGCTGTACAAACAGCTCTTCTTTTGAGCAAGAGGGTCAGAAAATGTATTTGTTTACACTGTTGTCTACAAGAAAATTCTTATGTATACTTGAAAGCAGACATAAGCTGTTAGGAAACTTTCCCCAGAAACCACATTACTGTACTTACGACTTAAAATTTATACTTAAAATTTATGAAGTATCATGTTCTTAAGAATATAATTCATACTTTTCACTAATTTGGCCTGGCTTTCATCCATTTTGGCAGATTTAATGAAGATTATTATAGAGGATGGAGGGAAAATTACAAATGTTTGCTCAGTTTCCTTGGATTTTTTTCAACAGTGGGAGGCTATAGTTTTATCTTTTCCATCTCCATTCTTTGGAAGAGAGCTATACCTCTAATAAGACTCTGGATTCACATTTTCTCTCAAGAATTATTCTTAATCAGTATCAGACTAAGTACGTACTGGACTTTTATATAGAGCCAGCAAATTTGTTCTAAAATACCTACATTTTGTATGAATGACAGGTGAAGGTGCTTAATTGTCTCTTTATGTTGTTCATTTTGAAGGATTCTGGGTAGGCAAATAATCACTCCAAGTGAAAGTTATGGGCTGTATCCTAGATCCCCTTCTGTTGTTTCAGCTTCACATGAGGCAACACTTTCTCAAGAAAGAGATTCTACTATGTAAGTATTTCTAATATGTAAGTATTTATGTATCCAAATGTGCAAGTGTTATATTCTGCCAGTTATACTAGGGGATTAAAAAATTTTTTACTTGTTGGTATTTAATAAAGCACAGAAAATTCTGTTAAGATTGACTATAGTTTTTGTACATATAAGAATTTTGTTATATAATTTTTTGTTCGAAAAGTAGTAAGATATTCCCTAGGGTTTAAGGATATTTTTGTTATTTTGTTATTTGATATTTTGTTATTCAGATCCATCTCTATCTCTGTATTTATATATATATATATAATATATATAATTTAAAATATATATATATAAAATTATATATATAAATTTATGTATATAAATTATATATATATTTTATATATATATATATAAATACAGGCACTTCCTTCTTGAAATAAAGTGTAGATAGACTGGGTTAAAAAAATTTAGGGGTCTGAGAAACACACTTTAACGATTTTTTTTTTTTTAAAGATTTTATTTATTTATTTGACAGACAGAGACAGAGAGAGAAGGAACACAAGCAGCAAGGGTGGGAGAGGGAGAAGCAGGCTTCCCACCAAGCAGGGAGCCCGATGCGGGGCTTGATCCCAGGACCCTGGGATCATGACCGGAGCCGAAGGCAGACGCTTAACGACTGAGCCACCCAGGCGCCCCATTTTAACGATTTTTTGAGGGATGCCTGGGTGGCTCAGTCGGTTAAGCATCTGCCTTCGGCTCCGGTCATGATCCCAGGGCCCTGGGATCAAGTCCTGCACCGGGCTCCTTGCTCTGTGGGGAGCCTGCTTCTCACTCTGCCTGCCACTCCCCCTCCTTGTGCTAGTGCTCTCTCTCTCTCTGACAAATAAATAAATAAAATCTTAAAAAAATAAAGATTTTTTGAAAAAATTTTGAAAAGTGATTTCTTAAACATAATATTAATTACAACTTAATTTCTTTACAGAAATTAAAGTGCTATTAGTTTATTAGCCTAAATTGGGTAATCAGTATATTATTTAAAATAGCTAATTCTTTTGAATACCTCCTCAAACTCTTTAAACAACAGCAAAATAAACCTAAATAGGATTATTCCACTTTCTTACATTATACACAAAAATAAATTCAAAATAGATTAAAGGGGGCACCTGGGTGGCTCATCGGTTGAGCCTTTGGCTGCGGTCAATATCCCAGAGTCCTGGGATTAAGCCCAGAGGGAGAGGGAGAGGCAGACTCCCCACTGAGCAGGGAGCCTGATGCGGGGCTCGATCCCAGGGCCCTGGGATCATAACCCGAGCCGAAGGCCGACGCTCAACTGACTGAGCCACCCAGGCGCCCAAAGGGGAACCCTCTTGCACCGTTGGTGGGAATGCAAACTGGAGCAGCCACCCTGGAAAACAGTATGCAGTTTCCTTAAAAAGTTAAAAATAGAACTATCCTATGATCTAGCAATCATACTACTAAGTATTTACCCAAAGAATACAAAACTACTAATTGAAAGGGATACATGCACCCTGATGCTTATAGCAACATTATCTATAATAGCCAACTTATGGAAACAGCCCAAGTGTCCATCAACTGATGAATGGCTAAGGAAGATGTGGTACACACACACACACACACACACACACACACATACACGCACACTGGAATATTACTCAACCATAAAAAGGAATGAAATCTTGCCATGGATGGATCTAGAGAGTATAATGTTGAGTGAACTAAGAAAAAGACAAATACCATATGATTTCACTCATATGTGGAATTTAAAAAACAAAACAAAACAAAGAGAAACAATCTCTTAACTATAAAGAACAAACTGATGGTTACCAAAGGGTAGTTGGTGGGGGATGGGTGAAATAGGTGATAGGGATTAAGGAGTGCTTTTGTGATGAGCACCAGGTGACGTATGGAAGTGTTGAATCACTATACTGTACTTCTGAAACTAATATCACACTGTATGTTAACTAACTGGAATTTAAATAAAAACATTTTTTAAAAACCTAAATAGGATTATTTCAAAACTTATGTTTACCCTTAAATCTATTGTAAAACATCATTGTTTTAATTTTGTTGTTGTTGTTATTCCTCATTTTTTTCCCAAGACTGTAGTTTTACTTATTTGAATCACCTTCTAAGAGTTTTAGTAGCAGTAGTTTTGATGCCTTTTTGGACTTGGAGTCATTTCAAAAGACCACAAAGTAAAACATTACTGCATTGGGCCAGTTATGATTACAGGACCTGGGTTATCAACTAAATAAGTCAGAGAATGGGATTTGTTTACTTTTCTCAAAGGATTTAAATTCAAGTTTCTTATCACTAGGCTGAGCTTTCTTTTTAAATTTAAACTTCATGTATTACATCAATAAGCCTTTTTAAGTTTACTCTTTTTATATAACTTCCAGATTTTTACAAACTAATGTCTTCCACAGAAATGACACATTCTTTAATTCTTACTGACCAAAATTACATAACCCATGTCATGTCATTAATATATTTACCTGATGTAGGATAAAATTTATATATGCCTTATTATTTTATAAGTAGTAGTTCCACTTAGACACTCATCTCCAAGGAAATAAGTAATCAAGCCTGAGCAATTTAGCCCCTCTTTTTTTAGGATATCTGACTAAATCTTTCTGCAACATACTGTAAACTTCCTTTCTTTCCTTTCCACTTGCTACCCCACTCCTGATAAGCCCTTCTTGTTTTTGGATTTGCTTTTCTGGACTATTTGCTTACAGTTTTCAATTATTACTTTCATTTACGATACAGATGAACATCTATCTATACTTCATACACAGACATATACCTAGATGAAACAAATTATCCAGCTTTATTAGCATACCACTGCTTATGGAAAGCAATAACAAATATAATCCATGATATTTACTTTCATATAACCACTACTTTGTCCATATGTGTTATTTTCTTGAGTACCATTTGAACTCAGAGCATTTGGCTCAGTCGGTTAAGCGTCTGCCTTCGGCTCAGGTCATGATCCCAGGGTCCTGGGATCGAGTCCTGCATTGGGCTCCCTGCTCTACGGGGAGCCTGCTTCTCCCTCTGCCTCTGCCTCTCTCTCTCTCTCATGAGTAAATAAATAAAATCTTTAAAAAAATAAAATAAAATAAATAAAAATATTTATATATTTTAATTAATCATAATTATTATTGATGCTCAAATTGTTACAACTTGGCCATGTCAAGCTAGTTCCTTTGTTTTTGTTTTGACTGTATCCTTGCCTTGTGGTTACAGCAGGATGTTCCAGGCCCATCTTTAATTTTTTCTTCAAGACAAAGAATGAGCTGAAATTTAAGGAGAACTGTTTCTGTTGAGAGGCTAATCCTTGAAAATTTGGGTAGTGAAGGTCTGTAACTTGGTGCTGCTGCTATTTTACCACTTTTTGCTGTAGGAGGTATGGAAAAATGTGATATGAATTAATTTTGATTTTTTTTTCAGTTTAACAAATCAATTTACCATAAAATTAGGTTTATAAATGACTGAGACTTTCTACAAAAATATTTCAAATTATATCCATTCTTGCCATTCAACATTATATCAGATTTTCCTTTTAAGATTAAGGGTTGATTGTGGTGCCTGGGTGGCTCAGTCAGTTAAGCGTCTGCCTTTGGCTTAGGTCATGGTCCCAGGGTCCTGGGATCAAGCCCCGCTTCGGGCTCCCTGCTCAGTGGGGAGTCTGCTTCTCCCTCTCCCTCTGCCTCTCCTCTTTGCTCTCTCTCTCTCTCAAATAAATAAAATTTTTAAAAATCTTTAAAAAAAAATAAGGGTTGATCCTTTCTGTCTCCCTCTTAAAAATTTTCAATAGCTTCCCACTGAATTTAAGATAAAAATGTAAAATTATATCATAAGCTGACTTAAGCCTATATCTCTATCACTGTCTTCTGTCATTCTCTCTCTTATTCATTAATCCTCCCAACTGGCTTTCTTTAAGGTGTCAAATGTACTAAAACAGGTATTTGGTCCAGTTTCTATTCTTGAGTTCTTGGGCCAGAGAAGAGTGGTACAATAAAAAAGACAAAAATACAGTATTTTCTTCTTTGTATTTCTTAACACGTAGCACAGTGATTACAACATGGTTAGCATTCAATGTTTTTTGGTTTTTTTTTAAGATTTTATTTATTTGACAGAGAGATAGAGCACAAGTAGGCAGAGCAGGAGGCAGAGGCAGAAGGAGAAGGGAGACTCCCCGCTGAGCAGGGGAGCCCACGCGTGACTCGATCCCAGGACCCTGGATCATGACCTGAGCCGAAGGCAGACGCTTAACGGACTGAGCCACCCAGGCGCCTGTATGCAATGTTTTTTTTACTAAATTAAAGCATAACATATTTATATGATACCAAATGATATGAAAATGAATTAATGTATACATTGATATTATGGTTGCAAAACAATGTTATCAATCAAAACAAATATTGGTGTCTAGGCCAAAATGGAATTCCAGGAGCATAAAATAATAGAAGATGGTGGCAGCATAAGGAGAAAACACAGGCAAAAAAGGACCATGACACATAAGGAGCATAAAATAATAGAAGATGGTGGCAGCATAAGGAGAAAACACAGACAAAAAAGGACATTTCCACTTGAAAAAAATTATGCACTTTACTGTTTCAACTTAGCATAAAGAGCTGTCTACCTTTAGTTTAAATACGTATCTCAGCAAAAATTAGCTAACTATAATACCTACTAAGATGTTAAAGTGTATGACTATATGCAGAATTATAATCCTTGAACACCACTAAAGGAGTAGAGAGCACAGAATAGAGAAACCTTTGTGTAAATGACTAAATGACTTTCAACAAGTGTGCCAAGACTACACAATGGGGAAAGGACACTCTTCAACAAATGGTGCTGGGGGTGCACCTGGGTGGCTCAGTCGTTAAGCATCAGCCTTTGGCTCAGGTCATGATCTCAGGGTCCTGGGATCGAGCCCCGCATCGGGCTCCCTGCTCAGCAGGAAGCCTGCTTCTCCCTCTCCACTCCCCCTGCTTGTGTTC